AATTGATTGATTAACCTTCCGATTAATCGATTAATGCTTTAATCGCGATCAATTTTTTTAACCAGTTAATCGGTTAAAATGAGGCGAACAAAAGTAAATAAATATACGTTTTTTTCCTTTCTCCTGCTGCCGTTCCCTCTAAAACGAACATACAAACTTGCTCCTTGTTCACCTCGTAGGTAACACCCAACAAACAAATCATTCGTCGTGAGTCACGCGGGATTGGAAGAAAAAAGCGAAAACAGAAGCAGAATGAAAGCAGGCTTTACGGAAGTCCGGTGACCTCGGTCATGAATTTGGACATTATAGCTACGCGCTCTTTTTGAGCACACGCAGCAGCTTTTTTTTTTTTTTTGAAGGCACGCAAGCATGTTGGCTTACGGGTTTGCAGCGACAAAGCTAGAGCTCTTCCGAAGGCTGCCTTGATCCCCATTGTGGGTTATGCTCCGTCCTTGCGGTCACTACAACGTGACCTCGCTCGTCTCTCCGCTCGTTCAGCGTGGTGCAAAGCCGGCCGTGGTCGTGGCTTGCTTCAGTATTCGACCCTGTGTTTTATTTGTGTGGTTGGAATTTCTCTCTCGGCGTCGCTTTTGCCTCTTGACGCAACGACCTTGGCGGACCTGCACTGCCCGTGGCAAAGTGCTTCCAGATGTTCCCCCGTTCTCTCGTCGTCTTTGACGAGTTGGCGCCGCGCGCAGCCGGATGGGCTCGTTTCCCTTTTCCCCGTTAAGAGGGGCCTTTCCTTCGCCGGGGATTTTCTGTTTGTTGAAAGCTTCAAGGACGTCGTGGAATTAGAGCGTGCGGGTAAAGTTACATGAACGACGAAGATGTTTCATCCTGTTTTTCTCCTTCATGTACTACTCCTATAACACCTTCAGGGACGTCCTCGACAGATCGACGCTCCCCAATTATCCCCGTCTCCCTTGCCCCCGTCTTTCCTCTTCCCTTCATGTCGCGCCGCAGTCACTTGTTTGAGAAGTATCTCATCACAACACCCTGCGCAGGCATGGACGAATACAGGAGTATGAAGGGCAACCTTTCAGGGAAATTCGGGTTTAAAGTAAACTCCGCGGGCGAAGTTTTTGACTTAAAGAAAGTTCACTGCCTCATCTGCAAAAAAGCTTTCGCATATAGCGGAAGTGTAAGCTCGCTTCAATACCATCTCAGAGCTAAGCACCCAAGCATCTCGCTGCAACAAGAATCATCTGCAAAAATGCAGACGACTATCGACGTTTTCTCTTCGAGGCCGGTTTCTCTGAAGAAAGAAGAAACTATTGCACAAGCCCTTACATCTTGGCTTGTTTCTTCTAGCCGGCCTCTCAACATTGTGGAAGATCACGGACTAGCGAAAGTTCTTCAGATTGCCTTGGATTCTCCGTCTTACCAGCCGCCGTCCCGTCGTGCAGTGAGTGCCAAGGTGGATGCCCTGTATACCTCGAGACGGGAGCGTCTTCAAGCAGAACTCTCGGCAGCCAGCTTCATCAGCTTAACAGCGGACTTCTGGACCTCCATCGCCAATGCGCCTACCTCGGGATAACGGCGCATTGGATCGACGACGACTGGATGCTTCGATCGGCAACATTGCAGGTGAGAAACGTACCTGAGCGCCATACAGCGGAACAATGTGCCAGTGAGGTATTGGAGACTGCTACAGATTGGGAATCGTTGAAAAGGTAAAAGCTGTCTGTACTGATAACGCCCGCAACATCTGTCTTGGGGTGGAGAGAGCAAACTATCAGAGTCTGAAGTGCGCAGCTCACACGCTTCAGCTGTGCGTCCACAAGGCGCTCAGCGTGACGGGTGTGGAGCGACTGCTAGCCGCCTGTCGTCGTACTGTGGGTCACTTTAAGCACAGTTCGAACAACCAGACCGTCCTTTCAAAACATGCCGCTGAACTCGGAGCACCTAAGAAGACGCTTCATCAGGACATCGCAACACGGTGGAACTGCACGTACATAATGATAACCAGCCTGCTTGAACTGAAGGAGCCTTTGCGCCGCTCCATGGAGGACAGCAGTACCATTAAATCGTCGATTCCCCACCTCACAGACTTCGATTGGGACATGTTGGAGCAGCTTCGGGAAGTTTTGAAGCCCCTGCTCGACATTACTGAGCTCCTTGGAGGGGACAAGCACGTTACTCGGTCTGTACTTATTCCAGCCTTAAAACTGCTAAAGAATAAAATGAAGACGAATGACTGTGACCCTGCCTTCATCTGCCGCTTCAAGGCCATGCTGGTGGACTCTATCGATGAGAGGCTTCGCGCGTGGCCGCAATACAACGACTATGAACTGTCAACGTGTCTCGATCCTCGTTTCAAGAGCCTCGCATGCATCGAAAAAGATCGCCGCGAACTTGTGTGGGAAAGGCTTTCCCAGCTAACACATGCGTCTTCGGACGATTCTACGGATCTAACGCCCAAGAAAAAAAGAAAATACGTTTTCTCGGAGGAAAATGAAGAACCCACCATCTCCTGCCAAGTGTCGCTTTATCGATCGATGGCCGAGGTGACGGACGATGAACTGGACCCACTACAGTGGTGGCGAGCTCAGGGCTCCCTGTTTCCTCAAATTGTGCCAATTGTGAAGAGTGTGATGTGTGTCCCAGTCACCTCAACGCCCTGCGAGCGTCTGTTCAGCGCAGCAGGGATGATCGTCAACAAACAAAGAAACTCGCTCCTGCCGGAAAATGTCAACAAACTTCTTTGCCTCCGCAGCTGGGGTTGTGATCTGTGAGTGCGTTACATCAACGTTTATTCTCAATTAAGTTTGTATATATGCGCCGTTTATCATACAATAAAACAAATTGTAAGGGCAAAATGTCTGCTTTTGCTTTTTACTAAAGTCAACCGATTAATCGATTAATTAATCGATTAAAGGGTAGCTATTAATCGGGTTAAAATTTTTAATCGACGCCCAGCCCTAATTTTTATACAAATTAAACTAGCAATGTGCTCGTCTAGTTTATCCTGGAAATAACTCACTGCATAGATGTATGTTAACAGCATCAGATCGCAGTTAAATCAGACCTAACTAAGCGTCACGCACCCAAAAAAAAGGACATAATTTCACGGCAAGCAGCAGCGTCAACATTACGTGTACTAGCTCGGAATAGCCCCGATCGGGGAAGCAACTAAATGTCTGCTGCCAAGAATTTTGTGAACAATAATAGTAAAGCGAATGGCAGACCTGACTTTCTCGTCATCTCATTGTGGCGCGAACATAAACAAGAAGGCAGCGAAGGCCAAGCAATGGGCGTTTGAAGTTCAAGTGTCGCGGATCGTTTGATCCCTAGAAGGACATCCAGCCGCGTGGCATAAGCGATGTCATCTTTCCCGTTTCACCATAAATTGGACGTTTAGAACAGTCCTTATCTTCTGACTTTGGCAGCGTTTTGAGTTTACTAGGGCTAAGGTCACTGGATCTGGGAGAGTAGCGCCATTGCCTTTCCGCCTGCTAGCCGAACACAAACAAATGCCAACACACAGACGACAAAACTTCTCAAAATGATTTGCTGTTCGGTCTGGGTTGCAATGGCGATTGCCATTATGGGCCTTTTAAATCTTGGAAGCTTCGAAAAGGCCGTTTCAAGCGGTCGCACCAAGACCGCTATTTAGCATCGTCGTACTGAAAACTTATCACTCATACTTATGTCCCCAGATCTTTTACAATTGTGTTTCTGGTCTTCCGTATTTCAAGACAGTAAATTTATTTTTCGATGCCTCCTAGTACTGAAGTTTCATGTAATGGCGTTACGAAGATGTGCGCCATCACATTGCGTAACACGAGGAAGTTTGTTCTCCCAAGTGGCTCTTCGTTGGAGCGGAGGTTTCTGTTGCGTTCAAATATATACCCACTGAGTTCGCCCGAATAAGTATGTGAGGAGGCGCGGTAGTATAGCAGGCCCTCACTCGCTTCTGCTTCCTTGTATTGTGAAGTGGACGTTAAGGGACGATTGGGGCCCACATCTGAAGAATCTAATTTCGGTGACACGAGAGGGTGTGGTTTAGAAACAAATAAATAATGCTCTACTTTTACCAAACCCTCGCAGGAATGAAACCAGCATTCATAATGCATGGCATACGATTCAGTCTACGCTACGACAACCTAGCTACTGCACTTGTAATTTCAAACAATTAGTATCAACCACGGCTTAAAATCACTTTCCTAATTCCCGAACAGCTCCTGGTGCAGGTTGTGTACTACCAATGTTCATTTCAGTCAGATGCTGATGGTGGCAGTGCACGCAGCATACGCTCTTCTCGCTATGTTTTTAGGGCCGATAAAGCACCTATTAGAATCTCCCTGGAGGTTGTGATTCTCGTCCTACCTATACACCGTATTTGGCGTCGCCATAATAGGGCTTATCACAACGCTTCTAGTTAGCAATCTTTGCTAACTAGAACCGGAAAGACGACTTTTGATCTTTAAATGGCACCGCTAAAGAATATCCTGGCAGAGTTGTGTTAAATGTAAGTAAAATTTGGTAGGTTTACTAAAAATGCACAACATACAAATCCAGAAGTGATACGGTGTTCCTCTATGTAGTGACATGTTAGCGAAAACGTGTAACAGCTGAAAATACAAATTTTTTAAGCTCTACGATAGAATATGTCTCGGATGCCGGTATGGCCAAATATAAAAAAGAATTGTCGTTCAGATCTCTTTCAAATAATAGATTTTTAGTTTTTATGTATACTCATGTGGGTTACATATATTCAATGAAGTTACGTACTTCAGTGAATAATTTAAGATTGCGAATGCATATCCACTTGCAGCGTTTGGAAACGTACTAACTCTGCCATTAGTGCATAAATTATTAGAACTAACTTTATCGTTGGTAGCGCTATGTCTCCTCGTAAAGAAACGTAGTAAAAATGCACTTGAGGTCTTCCCGTCACTAAAAGTGACTGCGCGAGCTTTGTTTCGAGATAATGCGACACAAAATTATCTAAGCCATCCTTTCTACGTACACATATAGCTGCGCATGTTTCATTGCAGTGACTGGGACCGTTGTGAAAATCACCGTAAAGAACTGCGTGACAAACCTGTATCGAGGCATGAATACCACAGAAGCCGCCATTACGTGAGTCTCGAGAGCCTTTCTAGTGCAGCTTGGATACAACTCCTAGTTGTATATTAATTTATATCTGAAGGCATGCAGTGGGGTATATTCAATCTCCTATTACATGCCCAAAGGCGGGCATTTATTACAGATTCATTAAAACGGGAACCTATCTTTAGTATTGTATAAAAACAGTGCTATTTTTATAATCCACTTTCTTTAGTTTGGCCCAATAAACTTTAAACAACTTTCAATGTATGACTTCCAATGTGAAGTAAAACAGGAAATACATATATGCAACAATATAGGTACTAATAAATTCCATAAATGAACACAAGAGGAACCCCAACTAGCTAGATCACTTAAACGTTTATTGAATCATCGGAAACGAATTCCCAGACGCAACAATTGTGGGGCCACGAGGAATTCTGGTGCATTTTCCCAAGCTGAGGTTCCAATAAAATCAACAATTTCTTTTGCATTTGCGAGGAAACTTAACATACTCATTAGTCTTGAGTGAGCGAAACTTTGAAATACTGTATGAGATAAAGCACAAAAGTGTTACAAGCGCAAACTGCACCGCTAGAAACAAAAATATAATAACCGCTACATGTCAATCTAAACCACTAATTCAGGTACCCTCCCAACTCAGAAGCCGAAGTCTATATACTTCCGTTTTCGTGTACTTTCTCCCTTTTCGTTCCAAATAGTTACGCGTCCAATCGATACTCTCTATTTATATTTGAATAATTTTCTAATTTTTCAGAGTTGCACTGGGCACAATCGCTATATTAATTGTGATCAGCACCGCCACCGACCTGTACATTTCTCGCAAGGATACACCCCGTCTAAGTAGTAAGTAATTTTCTGTTCACAGGTACTTCCGTTATTGACGAAGTCTGGCTGCTGGTCTCGCCTGTGTTTAGTATGGAAAAGCTATCGGCTAAATTGGGCATGGAATCACAGTGTCGTAATATAGTGATGCCACAGTGTCCCGTGACATCATGTCACATGTGGTCACATTTTTCTGGCTATACTTAACGGGAATATTTGTTCTCTTCTCTAAATTTACCGGCACCTTTGAGTCACGTAAAGTCATTGGGCCACGTGCGTCACAGTTTCACGTTATGTCATGACATCACGTAAGGTACCAGTGGCACGTTTCCAACATTCTCTAAATTTAGTTGCGCATGAGTCTGTTCAATTAAAACACTGCAGCGTAGCAGTGTAACTGTACACAGCAGTGTGCTGCGCAAAGGCGGTCGTCCCAGCTCGTTAGCAAGGCGCGGCAAGGAACAGGGATTGTTTTTATTTATTTTTTTCACTTTCTCAGGTAATATAAGACTGGGTAATATATGGCATTTATAAGCGACTTTCATACGGCTGCTTCGATTTTTTATTGTAGCTGTGCTGATGAAATCCCTAACGTCATTCTCCATCATCAAAAACACGAAGCTCATTTTGGCCGTGAACAAGAACAAGAGCTCGGAGACGTATCAGTACCGATTCATTCACGGCATTAAGTTTCTCAGCATGGTCTGGATAGTCCTTGGCCATTCGTACGGGATCGTCACCGACAATATGTGTAAGTGTTTTGAAAAATTTGTGTTTTGAGCGGGGAGTAGTATGGCACTGACACCGTCATTGATCGAAACCGCCGCCAAGGTTCGTCGGCTTTGGCGGTAATTTCGGGGCCTTCTCCGAACATTCGATTTCGGAGAATGTATTTTTGGTTACCTCTCTCCCTCTCCCACACCTAACTTAATAAAAAAAATTCAAAATTCAAGGGTTTTCTGCTTTGTCAAATGAAAATAACAAAAGCGCAATTTACAGAGGGAAGTAGAGCTACCATTTTTTCAATGTCAAAACTTGAGAATACAAACACTGGTATGTTTACGAATTATTCGTTGAGTCAGTTGTATTCACATTTTATAAAAGAATACACTCTGATATATATTAGAGAGTTTATTTAATTTATCACTAATAAAATTAAAAGAATGCGAGCATAGAACGCATAAAAAAATTCTTCAAAAATTTTTTAGAAGTTACCAGTGGTAAACAAATATCATTTAAAAATCATACATTTGTTTCCTAATATTAACTAAACGCGTACTAATTCAAAATAATTTGAATAAAGTGGACATTCCTTTGGCGAGTTTGAAGAGAAACGCGCAGAACAAAATATGATGTTTGTGTTTGAATGAGCGTATAAAATATATGCTTTTTACTGACGGCTACGTTAACTAAAGTTGCATTCGATAAAATATTACTAAATTAGAAGTTTTCTTTTATATATGCAAATTGTCTTGGAATTGATAAGATATATGGAGCTTTATACTAACGGTCTCTTTTGCTGGAGGATATATGCCGCTTTGGAGAAGCTTATTAAATGTTTATTCAGGTTAACATCAATCCACTGACCAATTCAAATTATTGTGATACTAGATAGTATTTTCAAAACAATCAGCACATTCTCAAGGAAACTGATGTAGTACAAAACAATTTAAAATGTTCTTTTTTTTTTTACATATATCATATTATTTTACGTTTGGAAGGATGAAGCCAGCGTTGTGTAATGTTTTTATTGTCTTTTGTTTTCACTGTCCTGCATTTTTGTTTTTTGCATTGCATTTCAATATTTAACTTTATTTGTGATATAAACAGCATGCTAATTTGTTTCACAGCACGAATGGTTAACGCCCTTCATTACTTTGAGCACTGGTACACATTAATCGTGACGGCAGGATATCTGGGGGTGGATATCTTTTTCTTCTTCAGGTGAGCCATCGTTTCCTTACATATCGTTAGTCGAACTGATGATTCGGTGGGCAGGCGGCCCGTTTATTCATTTCCACATGGTAAGAATTCGTTTCGTGATACAAACAAATTCGTTTTCCTCATAGTAATCAAAATATAAAGTCAGGTGAAGCGAGTTGATCGAATGGGATATATGTTACAAAGCTAGCGAAAGACAAACACTTTGGCGGTACCTAGTTTGAAAGGTATTGTCTACTGGCGACTTAGTAACGTCTATGCCATTTTGTTAGTACGGCTCATTCGTCTAATTATTCTCACTATTTTCTTGTCCAGACCCCGCAAGGTAAAAGAGATGGCCAGTAACCTATTTCAATTAATATGTATCTCTATCCCCCAATATTTATCTGTGATTTCGTGTCAACCGGTCGCGCAAAGTGAAGATATTATAGTCTTAGTTTTTTTTTACTAATCTAACCATTACTTCAATAGTCCTAAACGAGAGTCAGTTCCATAAGTAAGAAAATAGGCACTACAGGAAAAACAAAAGAAAATATTATTTTATTTTTCACCTGCAGCTTTGGCACGCCCTCTTGTTCAGGACTTCATATTAAAATTATCCAAATTCCGGTTCGCCTCAAGGGCGAACCGGAATTCCGAAATTATTCGTAGACAGGTCGAGATGAAGCAAAAATATATTTTAAAAAATTATGAAATTTAAATTATGCACATTTATAAATGTTCCATCTGATTAAAAAACTAAGGTGGATGTTCCCATCACAAGCCCGTCATACATTTCCAGAACGTGGTGCTTTTAATCGTTTAAAATTTACCTTGCAGGAGAATTAGAACCTGCGCCACAGGACTCCACGCCGATATATCCCTAACATGCTAGAAACATACAGTGCAAAACATTCAAATATTGTTCGAGTCAGAAGTATTGTAGACTTGAACTGAAGTGAGTAAAACAAAATAATTAGTTTTAAATCGTCTTCTTATGTTTCTTATAATTTCTTGGTTTCATGAACTCGCACCTAAGCAATTTACTACACAATGGTATGTCTTTGGTATAGTTGACTATGTTGTGTTTGTCATCATTTAAAGTGTTTGTCGTCTTTTTTAGCGCTTTTATCATGCATATTGTTTTTAGTAACAGACAACTTGTTTTATTTCGTCGGGAACTATTGATTTCCCCTTTTCGCACATTTTGTAATGAATAATCTACAACAAAGCAAGCCACCTAAATAATTTCTCGAAGTACAAAGCGTTATTTTTTCCCCTGTTTTTCTTTTTTTTTTTTTTTTACTTTTAGCATTGGTGAACAAGTGCTCACTGAATCAATTCAGGGACATATAATGGAGCTTGTTGATTGTGATTATTTTTCGTTGTGTTTCTCTTTTTAGTGGGTTTCTGCTTTATTACACACTTAACAAGCAGACACGAAACAGGATGTTTGTGGCCATAGTCGCTGTGTTCTCCAGATTCCTCAGGTGAGATTTTAAATGGAGATGGAAATGAACTAAGCTCGAGCTAACGTCAATTAGTACCTTTAAATACAAATACGGTAAGTATTTTTCCCTCGAGTGTGCTTAGTCCGTAACGTTGCATTACTTGCCTAGCTATTTTATTTCCTAATTGATTTTATTTCATATGTTAAGTACAGCGCATTTTAACCCACCCCGTCTGTTACTTCATTTCGTTATGAGTGGCGCATAACTACATAAAACTATATATTAGTCAATTCAATTTATCACAACCGTGGCATTCCTAATAAGTGTGTTGTATTTTTTTAAATTGAGTGACAAGCATTTACATATATCGTGTAAGAATAAGAACATCATAAGTTCTTTAAATATACGTTTCATTTAAGCAAAGAATGTATTTGAAAGCATAAAAAAATGGCTGTGAGCCGTAAAGATTTCTTTGATAAATACCTAAGAAGTTTCGACAACGCAGGTAACAACATAAATCAGTGTCAAGCCGGAACCGAACCGTTATTTTTATGCGAACCGAAACCGAACCGAACCAAAATCTTTGCCGCCATCGTGAAAGTGATTCAGAATTGGACTAGAAAAAAAAAATATATCGGCAACCAGTCTAAAGCAGTTCACGGTAACTATTTTTTTTTTTTACTAATACAAACTGAGTATTTGAAAATAAAATATTAGAAACTGTACTTCTATGTTCTGATCAAGTCGTCATATACCGAATTGCAATGTATCCGAAGTTGTGGGTTTTCGTGGCGCTTTTGTATTGGCACTACGATTAATCATGTGTCATCACGTGACACGTTGTCGCTAGACGTCACGGTGTCAAGATATGCTGTCAAATAATATCACGTCATGAGGCCCCGCGACGCCACGTGACACGACCATGTCACTCACTGCGTCAAATGGATTCAAAGTGAAGTAGTCACTAGATTCATTAGCGTTGTTGACACCGTTACGCCACATGATAACAAGACCCATGATTGCATGTGTCCTGCCTCTAGCATGCAAGACGCATGATCACACCGCCAGTCACGTGACACCGTGACGTACCCGATTGTCATGAGCCCTAATCGAGTCCTAGGCTTCATGACAATCAGCACCGCCAAATATTTGGGTAATGGCTAGTGTTCAATTAAAAACTAGAATAGCCAAACTCTCACAATGTCTGAAGCTCAGCCCGTGCTCTATGCTTGGCCTCGGCGGACGACTATGTTGAACACTGACGGTATATAACAAGCGTCAGATCACTTGACCGATTATTTTGGTGGCGATTTGAAAAGAAAGCTGTTTCTTTCCTTTATTTTTCTTTTCTGCGTCTGCACGCGGAGACAAAAGCTGATGATTGCCTCGTAGGTTACCAACGTCAAGTATTAGCTCTTAGAAATATTTATTGAAAGTACGAAAAGTGTTTCACGACCTATTTTACATGTGCACATCACTGAGGAGCCCAAACATGTTTCAATAGTTACTGGCTGCCTCAAAAACTTGTTCCCGAGAATAGAAGCATTAGAAAGACTAAATGTGACTTAATTATCCGGCGTTACATAAAACTACACATCTGTAAAGAAGTGATCTCTGAAAAAAAAAAGATTCTGGTTACCTGAGGGTGACAGCTGAGCATTGGCGGCCTCTCTAATGTCTCACAGGAGTGTGGAACTTACGTTCTTTCCGAAGCTTCCACCGCCTCCGTATATTGTTTAAAGATCGGAGCTTTGGCGTGCATAATAGGAACAATAGAGAACTACTATTAAAAGGTGAAACAAATGTAATTGTCAAATTAGCACCCCACAAACTGAGGAGGGTATAAAGCCCATCAGGAATAAAAAAAATATTCTCTGGAATTACAAAAAAAAAAAAAAAAACTGGGAGGGGTAATTTGAACAAAACATTTAGTGTTGTAAAGGTTCCTCGGCCCCGCATCTACGACAAAGACCAGGTTGCATGGCACCGGAAACTACTTCGTTTGCAAAAACACTTTGTCCAGGGAGCGCTTTTTTCTGGCACCAAACGCTCACGCTGTACCTCACGACGCTGCACCAAAGCAAGAATTTTTTTCAAATTCAAATTTTTTATTTATTCCTGAAGCAGAGAAAGGAGGCAGAGAAAAAAAGCAACTGACACGCTGCTTGACTAGCCTTTGCCCCCCCCCCCCCCCCCCCCCCCTTAGCAGCCCAGGGAAGAACGAACATAAACGTAAAGACACTAGCATTTGACATATTTATTATAGCATGGGAGCGACAACATCATCTATATTACGAAAAAGAAGAATGTAAACAAAAGAGAGAGAAAAAGAAACGAAAAAGTATGTAAAAAATATAACAACACGCGCAAAACGCATACAATCTCGTGTTATACTTAACTTTTTTTTTCGTACATGGGAATAACCATTAGGTATAAATTGAACATATTTGTTTGTCGAACATACTAAAGATATCTATATCAGGTTCATAAAAACGATTCAGAAGTTGGGGAGGGTGCATTTTAACATCTGATCCCCATAGTTTGTTCTTGAATGTGGCACTATCCATATCTCACCATTACGAGTTGGCTAATTTGCTTGTCTAAATGGAAGTTGGGAAATTGATAGATACACATTTTCGCTCTGTCTAAAAGACCTTTTGTAGGAAAGTGCTAGTTTATAACTATAGTAATTTGGAATTTGTACTATATTAAATTTATGACATAATGGCTCGGTATGACTATCGTATGCTGCATGACATAAACCTCGAATTGCTTTTCTTTAAGAGTGTATTATTTTAGGATTTGTAGAAGTCGTATTACCCCATACTAGAAAGCAATTGTGGTAGTATGTGTAAAAAAGAGACTTGCATATAAGTAGCATAACAGAGATGGGAATCATATCTTGGTATTTATATATAACCCCAACAACGCTCGATAGCTTATTACTTATCTGTTGCACAGTTTCGTCCAAACACAGGTATTCGTTAAATATTATTCCTAGTACCTTTACATTTTCTACTATGTCTAATTCATTTCTACCAAGTGACGGGACAGTCATGTAGGTTCGTTTTGTATTACGTGATCTGAATAGAACGGCTTTAGTTTTATTTACATTTATTTCTAAGGAATTTAATATCGTCCAAACATTTAGCTTATTACGATATTGCTTTGCCTTTTGTATAATTTGGGAGAAAAAGAGAGAGGTGTCATCTGCACATATGATGTAACTAACGGTATCATCAATATGTACTACATCATTGATATATAAATCAAAAAGAAGTGGCCCGAATATACTGCCTTGAGGCAGGGCTGCTGTTGATTTCCTGAGATCTGATCTATTTTTTTATTGATTTCTACACATCGATAGCGGTTTTGAAAGTTACTTTTAATCATCTCACGAGCGACACCGCGAACTATAACTTTTGAATCAACGTTACGTGATTAAGGCGATCGAATGCTTTCGAGAAATCTATAAACACTCCGAGTGTAACCAGTTTATTTCCAATATTGTTTAAAATTAATTATTTTTGCTTTAACAGCGCGAATTCATTGGAGCGACTTTTTCTGAACCCATATTGACGGGGTGTCAGGATTGAAAGTTTGTCACAAGAACTGTATAATCCTTTATGTAAAAGTTTTTCCAGATCTTTTGAAAATATTGGTAGTACCGAAATAGGCCTGTAATTTTTTTAGTTATTTTTATCCACAGTTTTATGTAAAGCTGAAACTTTTGCCAACTGCATTTCCTTAGGAAAAACCCCTGTTTGCAACGCTAGATTAAAAATATGTGCCAAGCACGGAACAGTAGACCGTAGTACATGATTAATAAGTTTAATTTGAAGCTGATAAAAATCACTGCTCCTGCTATTTCTAAGCCTTGAAAAACTGAGTATACTTCATCTTTATCAGTTGGATGAAGAAACAGACTGTTATGTACGCTGATCATGTATTTTGAAGCATGCTCACTATGTGTACTATGAAGAAGTTCAACAAAGTATTCATTAATTTTTTCTGCTAAAGTCACACTACTTATGTCAATACCATCAATTCTAAGTGTTGTTATCTTACCTATATGCAATGTATTTTTCATTAAACTATTTACTTTTCCAGACCACATCGGACCGCATATCCCCATTAAACAAATTGTTGAAGTATGCGTGTTTAGCTTGTCTTCGGGCTTTAGTTACCGGGTTTCGTTGTTTTCGGAAGGCAGACAAAATGGCAACATCTTTGCTAAGTACAAATTTATGATAAAGAACATTTTTCTTTTTTATCATGTTTAATACTTCATACCTAATCCAAGGTTTACGGGACTTATGGTGAACTTTATGCAATTGATATGGAGAGCAACAATCATATATTATACTAAATGTTTCTAAAAAAATTTGAAGGCTTCATTAGCCGACACACTAGACAGAACCACTCCCCAGTCCTCAGAGTTCACTTTTTCTTCAAATTTCTCAAGGTTTTTTTGCGGTTACGTTTCTAAAATAGACATCTTGTGAACTAATTTTTTTCCTCTTAAAGCCTGTGTCAACAAGGATAAAAGCATAATTTGTGTGTCACAAATTCATGGCGTGCACTGACCTTACATTTCCTGCCATTTGGTGGGTGTTGCTGCTTATCGTGTACGTTTTGCAGCGTGCTCTTTGCGCCCCCAGATTTAATTTTTGTCCGCAGAAACAAATCACAATAATTACCAGTGCATAGTGCTACGATGTAACATGCAAAACATGCTGTAACATTTGAGGCCGAGACGTATATGTGAAAAAGCACTTTATTGCGAAGTGTAACACTGGCAGCCTCTTGACCAACTACTGTCTGGCACATCAAATCGGGGCTCAATATATACAGATAAGATACACCGAACGCAGTACACAGCACTCTGACATTAGACATAAAAGTGCATACTTTATGGCCTGCTGTTATCAGATACACGCAGGTGCGACAGATGATTTTCAGTTTCACGGTAAGACGCTATGTCTGCAACACTTGAAAAAAGTCTCCACACTGCAAAGTTGTGCAGGATGCATATACGTATAGCAGCCTCACGATAATATGCGGAGCCTGATAAAATGTCAAAACGCGTGAGTGAAAAAACACAAAGTTGTAAAGTAAGGTCCTAAGACATCTGAGCGTACAACGAAACAAAATATTAGCCTCCCGAGACAGCACTTCGCGAAGGTTCGAGCTCATGCATGCTGATTCCCCAATGTTATTCACATTGTAGAAATCTTCGTCTGTCCTTCTCGCTGTAAAATAGTTTGTTGTTGGGCGAGTTGGTGAGCGTTTGGATACATGGTTTTGCGCAAAAAAGGTGTCCGTCTTTTTTGCGCAAAATCATGTATCCGAAAGTCCTTCGCGCTATTTATATGTAATTAGAAAAATAATTAAATCTCTATGTGCTTATTTTTGCTGCCTGGCGTTGTGTGCGGAATTATTTGGAAGACGACAAATTCTTATTTCTATTCCTACATATATCGTGCAGAAATGATTGGGTGCTCCTTGAGATCTATCATGGAGCACCCAATCACTTTTTTATAACCCGCGACCCAGTGTTTCGCACTGTCTAGCTATGAAAAAATCGCATTTCGCAGGTCGGATCAAAAGCTGGCGTATTTTCGAGTATGGTCCACCCGCGTCAGTCTCGAGCTGTTATGAGACTTCCACACAGTGAAATGTTCTGACGATGATAAGAATATATTTAATTACTCACCGAAGATTTGACCACATAAGTGTCGAGTATAGAGCATCACAACTACTTGATCATAGTACCAAAAATTCATCAATTAGCCAGGGTGATGTTTGTTTGCAAATTGAATTGACCGGCATCAGAAGAAACTTCAACAGCCAAGTCATTCTAGATAGTTTATCCATGTATAAGAAAATGTTCACTTGGGCACGCGCCATTTTGGGCCAGCTTCAATCTGAGCACGAAGGTGCGTATAGATTCTAGTGAACAGTTTTGATCACTCCATTCTGCATGATCCTTCGCTTACAACACTGTGGGTTAGGAAAGCGAGCATTGTGATTGACGCTCAGTGTTCCCGTCAAAGGTAGGCTGAAAGGGATTGTCCTAAAGCTTTCAATACATTGTGTAGATAATATTGGTTTTAGTTGAGTTGCGTCGTGAGCATACAGATTGTGAAACGTATTTTGTAAACTATACTTCACGATATATATGGCAGCCAATGTGAGCATTCTCTGATTTTATGCATTGTAATTATTACCTAAGTTAAAGCGAATAACTACGATTGAACTTTTTAGACTGCGAATCAAAGGGTTACCAATCACGGGTATTCAAGACGACCTAGCCCACTTCGTGACAGCCTTTATATTCAGGTAGAATTTATATGGCTGGTAAACAAAAGGAAGGTGAGTCGTATAAACACGACGTTTCTTATATTAATCCACACTTTTCTTTGTTATTGTGTCAAAATTAAATAACGCAATTTTGATGTTTAGTACCCTGGGAATAAAAGTCGGTTATACAGCGGGTAAAATAAAACTATATTGGTACATCTTTTATGGTGGAAATGAAAATGGTGTATATTGCCTAAGCAACGCGGAAAATATAATCCCACACTACGGTTCAAACTGAATCGGACTGGTTTTAACTGTTATATTTGCTCCCCGGATACGAACGGGAACTGACACCGAAAGCCGCAATCCCATCCCGAAGCGAACCGATAAAAATTTCGGTTCGACACTGATATAAAATATGCTACAATTTTTTTTTAATAAAGCGGGAGTGCAAACTTAGTCTCAATAGTATTCGAAACGTTTTAAAACTGATGGGTGTTGAGCAATTATTGTAACTTTTTTCCAAGCCATGAATCATCGTTTTTATAAAAGAAATTTCAAAAACACTTTTACCTTATGTTTGTAGCTAATAAACAATTCCCACTTTTGCCTAATATGTACCATGATCCACGATGTCTCGTCAAGTAAAGCAGGCGTATATCAAATTATCGCCTTATGCTCTACCTTTTTTTTTTTTGTAGGACTACAGTTCCTATGTTTTTCGTTATAATGTGCATGTACTTGCTGCCCCTAATTGCGTCTGGCCCGGATTCCAACGGATTTCACACGAAGTTTTACCGAGAAATAAAGAGGCATTGGTGGGATCTCTTGCTTCAACTGCGCAACTGGAGGCAGGACATAGCATTTGTAAGTACCTACTCAAGTCTTGAACACATTGTTCATTAAAACGCGTCAGCGCATTTGTGTTTTTTTTTTCTTTTTCTCGCGGAACACGCATACTGGCAATTAACGCGATCTAGAGAAGACAAAGCGCAAGATCTAGAAAACGATTATACATGAAAATATAATGTACGCAGATTGCATCTTGCGTGTGAGGTCTTTATTTGTCCGGGCAGAGTAAATCACTCAGTTATTTCTGCCGACCACGCTGATCAGAAATTCATGTGCTGCGTAGAAAATTTGACAAGCGGACGTGGCTCACAAACAGTGCATTGATTACTCGAGTCAACATGGTATAGAGCGACGCAGGAAAATACTTATCGCCAATGAGTTTATTCATCGCAGTCTACTCCTTGAGACGCGCTGAACAAACGCTATTCATTCTTCAGCCTCAATACACATAGCGGACGGCAATTCGCTCAATAGGAAGGCCAACGTGTTTTTTCGTTGCAGCAAGCGACCTTCACCCTTTCAATATTTAAGTATGCAGTGGGATGTTTTGCCACTTTGCGAAATTTCAGCACTCATGGTGCGTTGCTGAAGTTCTTCAACGTGCAGTTTAATATCATTAAAACGTCTTGAATACTGTACGTCTATTGTTTACTTGATTCTTAATTGCTTTTTATACTTATATATGTACAGTCGGCGCGGGAGTTAATAGCTCCACGCGAGCGCACGTTTTTTTTCCGAGGGGCGCTTGACTGGTGGCCTGCGATAGAACTAGAGATGACGTTAGGGTGAGTTCATGCGGAGTGGACGGGGGAAGCAGTCTCAATTCAAGGGAACCGTTATCATCCGCACACAGCGTGAGCATAGTTCGAATGAAAAGGGCAGATGATTCCGCAAAAGTCAACATCGCCGAACACGAATGAGATGGTTGCTTGGAAAGAGAGAAGACAACACGTCGCATTTTCTACACCGAATGAGATGGCTGCGTGCTCGGTGATCTTGACTTTTGCAGAATCATCTCCCATTTTCATTCGAACTACGCTCACCCGCAGGCACCTAAGGATGATCACAACGGTTCCCTTGAATTGAGCGGCTTCCCCCGTCCACTCCGCATGGACTCGCCCTGACGTCATCTCTAGTTTTATCGCAAGTCACCAGTCAAGCGCCCCTCGGAAATAAACGCGCACTCCCGTGGATCTATCAACTCCCGCTGCGACTGTACCTCTACTTCAACTTGGTTGTGTTCTCAAGATTAAATTTACATTAAAAGCGATAGCTCAGCTCATCTTGCAGCAGATAAATATTTTTTTACAGTACAACCAGCCCTTGAGCACACGTGGGTTATATCATACCTATTGATATATTATTTGATTTTTAAGCAGACAATACGCGAAATTAATATTCGCAGATATTGTACCACTGCTAATCAATTAATTCGTTACTAATATTATGTGCACAATATTTTAATGTGGCGCCAGTTAAAATTAGGTCTAACGTATATGGCTATTAGATAGTATTGCATAAAAACTGCATAACATATTTAAAGTATTTCTCAATGCTTCTTTTCCCTACAATTGCAGTCGACGCTTCAGCATGTATGGTACATTTCGGCAGATTTCCAGCTGTTTCTCCTTTCAGTCGTCATCATCCAAGTATTCAAAAAGTATGTTTCTTGAAAGGTTTTCCTTGACTGCTTGAAAAGCGTTCCTTGCATTGTTTGTATTTTGATATTATAAAGGATGTCCACATTTAATAAGGCTTTTGTCGCCCACAAAATAAAATTTGTATTCGTGCGCCATTGGAGCACATTCAAAGGATTACTCCGTGTACCCTCTGCCGCTGATCTGCTTTCCGTGCACGCATTTGAACATCAGATAATATGTTTTCTGTGAACGACAACAAGTGTTTTCACTTTGTAAGTGCCTTAAATTGCCGGGATAGCGAGCCCAGAGTGACGGGGACCTTCATATCCACAATAATGATTGATAAATACTTTATTGAACATTAGATCAAGGTTGTATGCTAAAAAAAACAATATCTAGAACCAGAACGTTTCAAGCAATTTCGCTATTAGTTTGTGTAAAAAAAAACTATATTTATAATGCGTATAATAAATACCTCATTTCCGCTAGTATAACTCCGTTTTAGATTGGAATGAAATACAAGGGGCCAAAATCAAAATTGAATCCAAGGAATCGAACTGAGGTATTTTGCGAGAAGAGAGCTTTCCTGCCTGCTGGTTAGATTTGTTTGCACAGATTTCTGCTAAACGGGTTTTATGAACAAATAAAAAAAATCACGTTTGTAGTAGTCCTCGACCAGGCAGCATTTCCTTTATACATTTTCGTCTACACACGGATGGCGAAAGAAGACTCGCCCTCTCTGATGTGCTATATCCCGAGTGCCCCTTTTTGTGCCTGTGAATTTCAACGTTTGAACAGCAGCCAAATCACTGGAGATTGCAGATAAAGTACAGGTTGTCGATCGGGTCAAAATTATACAAGCAAACAATTCAAGTTCATCCTTGAGTACAATATCACTTTAATATGACACTTAGTTCCTAGCGGTGCATCCTTCGATTTCGGAACAATTAGCAAACATCATGAAGGTGTTTTTTTTCTTTCAATTACACTTTGTAGTACGCAAATTCCGCTCTTCGTTTGCGTTGGCAGATGAACCGTCAGCTATCAAACAAAAGCTTGTTTTCTCGGGGTTTTTAGGAAGTAAAGTGTGAGCGTCCATAGCCTTGATCGACTCTTAAAGTGAGCTAAAGCTGGTGCGTCTACAGTTTGACAGCAGAGCCCGATAATGCATTTATGAGATTAAAGTAGAAAAAAAGGGGAAAACAGAAAAAAACTACACGCAGCTGAATATGTTAGATTTCCCTTAGCTCGCCTCCATAAATAATACCGAATTCTGTAAAAGCACCATCAATTACAAAAACAAGCATACTTGCAAACAGATCATGTGACAGCTTATGTCGCTTTTACTTCATTACAATAAGAAGCACCTGAACTTGCATAATACCTAGTAGAGCAGAAATACCCAATACAAGAGAGGAAGATAAACGTGCAGCTTATTTATCCATCGTTTAGGAGTTTATTTCTCTTACTCCAGGGAGTTATTTGTACGCCTTGTTTAAAACGTCGTATAGATCCCATATGATTCCTTCTCAAACCTTGAATCGTGTCTTTCTTTGCAGCAAAAAGTGGTGGGCTGCCTGCATTTTTGCTGTGCTGTCCGTTGTGTCATGTGGCATTTCGGCTTGGCAAGTACACGGTAACCACATCCCACCTTTCATGGTACCAGTCGCAGAGGAGCTAAGGTACGATATGAACTCTTAGATGAAGCTATACTAAGACCAACAACTGCTGTCTCTGTAAGCTATGCTAAAACTTTGTACTTAACAGCGCATAAACCTCTCACAATAGCAAGCACACACTCAATCACAGACACGAAAACGTACACACAGCGCTGAATCACAACTCTCTGTATTTTGTCTTCGTTTTCTTCTAATTCGTATTAAAACAAAATCTGGAAATTCTTTTGTCATTTTTTCACATATTAAAACAAAATGGAAGCGATAAATAATTGAAGCAATGCATGATGCCAGGCTTGCCGATTTATGTGTGAGCAACCGATCTCTCACCTTATTGGTGTAAAAATTGGCTTATCTAGACTTAAGATGACAATCGCGGACTATTTTATAAATTCGTTTTAACAGGCGGAGAAAAAAATGACAAAACAATTTTCAGATTTTGTTTTATTACAAAGAAAAAAGCCAAGACAAAATGCAAAGAGTTGGGAGTCAGCGCTGTGTGTATGTTTTTGTGTCTTTGATTGAGTGTGTGATTGCTATTCTGAGACATTTATGCGGTGTTAAGTACAAATTATGGAAAATCAACTAGCCCAAGCTGCGGTGCTAATATGCTAAAGCATTTTAATAATAACGATATGTACATGTTTTGTCATACAAGGTTATTATGAACGTAAAGTATATCGGTGGCAGCAAGCGTTTATTTGTTCGGCGCCAACCACAATACGTAAGAACACAAAAAACAATGAGAAACAAGAAGAATTAACAATCCTCGACATTCCCAGCAAAACTGCTTGCGTTATTTTTATATATTTCAAATAAACATACATTTTTTATGCAAATAAAAAAATCAAAAGTGACTCTAGCAAGTCGACCCTGATAATAAAAGATCGCCTAATGTCTTCAATTCTGCTGTAATTAAAAAAGCAAGTGCAGTAAGATCTCTCAACCTACACCGTGTTTCTTCGGCGCTTAATGCGAACAGAACGCCAGATTTGTCAAGTGCCGCTAGTATGCCAGGAAACGCAGAATTATATTGAAACCACAACTAGTTGTTTCCTCATACACGGAATAGTGAAACAAGTTCTTACGTGCCAAAATTAAATGAGGCGGTGCGCGGAAGTAGACAATATTCTGGTATTTCTTGTGTATAGCTGTGGTAAGTATACTGTTAAAGAGCCATGATAGCCCTGACCCATACTTGATGTGTACTTAAACGTGCCTCCTTTTATTACAGCACTGTTATCGATACCCTGAACGACTACTACGTTCTTCCCTTCTACCATGCCGTATGCTTCTTTGCGGGATGCATCACACTGCTCCTCGTTGAAAAATACAGGGAAGTGAGAATCTCGAAGGTAATAAAATTGCTAGGTGCTCTTAAACCAACTACAAACTAAAATACGTTTTTCGCTTTTAGTTGACGTGCTCCCAATTAAAATAAACATTTTTAGTCTAGCATGAATATAAATACGTTTCAATGAGTACGCATGACTTGGATATATCTGATAAAAGTAATGTTCAAAACCATCAACAAACATCACAAATGTTTATTAATTGCACACTTTTCCCCTTTCAATCAATCACTGCGATGCATAACCACCTTAACACAGACGAGAGTAAGGAGTGCACTCCAGCAGGCCATAATTAAAGAGCATTGTAAAAAAACCTAATTTTTTTCGCATACAAATATAAAGACGCAATTTGTGGCTACATGCTGTTATTCAGATCTGCTCACCAAGGAAGGTTAGTTTTATGAAGCGGCAGCAACCCTCAGAAGGAGGTGATAATATTCCGCGCTTATTAACTCAATACTAACTGCCCTAGAAAGCAAGAACCCCGAAATAAATATAACTGCACTTGTAATTAAATACCAAAACTAAATTTAAATCATAAAACTTTTAATTGCCAGCTGTCATTCATTAATGTCTTCAAGCAGCTTTAGTGTTATCTAGCGGTATGTAGCGTGACTGGAGAATTTTTTTCTGCATTTTGTTAAGGGCATTGAACAGTATACAAGCTCGGATATACTAACTTTATAGTTTGTGAATCATACAATTTGACCGCAATTTTTAGTATGAGTTCCAACTGTCACTGCTCAAACATGATATATAAATCTACAATCACCGCTGCGTTATTCTTCAAAGGGGACATATTAATCTACCACTCGAAACTATAGTTAAAATGATCTACTTTATTTAACTTCAAATCACACGCACTCGACATGGATAATTATCGATTCATATTTTATTTCAGTTGGTCCAAGCTTCTTTGTGGTGCATCGGCCTCTCTTGCGGATTCTATGATCTGTTTATGAAGATCGACTGGTACCGATCCAGAGACCCCACTTCAGAAACCGGCAAGGTCTTCTTCGCGTTCTCGGACAGGATGGTGTGGTCCGTCTGCCTTGCATGGATCACGTTCGCCTGCTCGACCGGTAGAGGCGGTAAGAACAAGAAATGTTAAAACGCTCAACTTTTTATTTATACACCTATTTCTTAGTGTTACGTCCTCAAGAACAGCTGATATCTTGGTTAGAATTCCCAACAGAAAGATAATTAAGAATTAATCCTTATTTCTTATTTCAAGAAAATGTGAACTTGAAAAGACAATATCGGCTGCACTGAGGATGTTAGGGAAGAGTGTAGCGGGTCATGAAACCAATGGCAATAGTTTCATTAAGAAAGGAAGTGGGAGAAACTTGAGGAATTACCTCGGAACAAGAAGATATATTTTGCTTGCCTAAGAGTACGGCACTCCATTAATTTACGAAACATTTATACAAAAATCTAAAATAGCAATCGCCTTGCCTTGAACTCAATATAGGAAAAATACATCGTGTTCATGATCCCATTTACCATTGTAAACAGTTCAAGCAATTATATGAGTATAAAACGTATAAAAATAATTCTTCTCAGCACTCTTCGCTGCTTGACTTGTAATCTCAACGTAAATCCTTAATACAGAGGTAAACTCCAGCTAGCACCGAATTCATAAACAGTTCAGCTGTAGTAGGCAGATTGACGCGGCAAACTCTATTGACAATAGAAATTTCCCCCATCGCACGAAAAGTTGCGCGAATGTCAATTTTATTAAAAAGCGATTCTTTTGTTAAGGTTCAATTTACAAGCGAAAGAATAACCAAATAGGGCTTAGCACGGAACACATTTTTTTTTAATGTCGTGTTCTGTGTTTCTTTCTTTTTGTAAACTTCCTGAATTTCAAGAACCGCTGTGCACTTTTCATTTGTTAGAGGGGCCAGAAACTGCACTCTGACATTTCAACATAAATATAACCAGAGTAACACTTTCTCCTTTGCAGAATGAAATGTTACTACTTATATGTTTTTCATAGCGCACGAACAAAATTTGCTATGCCAAAGTATATGCAGACGTGAAAGGCTCAGTCAGTCCTGTAGAGGTATTGACGTCTTAAAGCACGTTTCAAACTCTAAGATGTTATTTTGCTGCGGTATCACTGGATTTCAATCTAAATCCCACATCCAGTTTTGAAATATCCGAAGCGAACATTTTTACATTTGAATTTGTCTAACTACAGTGACATTGAAAGTTTAAAAAAATGTATCAGGTATTCCCAAAACACATAGGGAAATTCTTACAGAAAAAAAGAAATTCAAGAAACAACCTGGTAGATGCATAAGATATCCATAATTTACTTGAGAAAAATTTCTTCTTCTGTGTGGTCAATTGCGATTTCAATCTGAGTTAGATCCTAGGTTTCTAAGGTAAATACATTGGCGAGAGTCAAACAGAAACTCAAGAAAGATTACTTATGTTTTTGTATAGTCTAGAAAGCTCCAATGAAATCTAGGAAAAAAGAAGTCAGTGAGACCGCACCTGCGTATTAGTAGGAGGCTATTTATTCCAGAAATGTTCTTCTGTTACTGGTGCACATTGAGTGCGCTCCAAGTAGTTTTCTAAAAATATACCAACTATTACAAGTTTTTTCTTCTACAAGAGCCCAGCCGTGTCAGAAAAACGCGCCCAGTCTACTTATAAAGGCGCCTAGTTGATTTGGGCGTCAGCGGTTTGGGCGCCAACCAGCTCATGTAAATTGAGTTATGTTTTAGCACGTCTTCCAAACACCCAAATTTGACCATGCTTGATCGAAGTAGCAATAGGAGGTCATTGCTGTTGCCATTAATTTAACTCAGTTGAATACGATATATTTATTGCAACTGCTAATCATATTTGGCACCATATAACGAGATAGGTGCGCATTGCTTAACAAAGCCATTAACTGACTTCGTTCTCTGTCCACTCAGGTATTCTGAATCGCTTCCTCTCCTGGGATGGCTTTGTGCCTCTGAGCAGACTCTCGTTCGGCGTCTACCTCATACACTTCCCGTTCTACCTCTTCACGTATCATATTGCTAGGGAACGGGTCTTTTTCTCCCACTTCACACTGGTGAGTGTGCGAGTTTATAATATATAAAAATAATCATCAGGTTGTTACAGGTACTTAGCACAGTACATTCACCGTGTAAAGATATTCTGTTGCACATAATCAAAAGTAAATATAATCATTTTTAATAATTCTTCGGTTTTAACAAAATATTTATTATCATAAAGATCCGTAAACATAGTTAATTGCAGCTTACATCCTCTTATACCAGTGAAAAGCAGATGCTATGCTACGCCCCTAAGCTTACTTTGCTTCCTATTAATGGTGGTGTTTCTTATGCTACAAAATAACATAATGTATCAAATCTGTGAATGTTTTGACCTACCATAAGTAATAAAAAAAAAGGCGGTTGCTTTGGAAGTGAAATATGGAACTAGATACGGATCCAATATAATGATAAATAAAAAACTAAAAATTTTACTTGGCGGACATCTTATTTTTCAAAGATGAGTTAAATATAATTAATAACATCCTTTATTTTTTATAGAAAAGCCACTGATATACCCGATTTCCCGCAGTCGTCCAACGCAGAATCCTGTTAAAAAAGTATAAACAATCTTCACTAAATCACATGTTGCCTAATATAACGTTGTGATATCCGTCGAACACCTTCGCAATAAGAAAATTTATTATTTGTAATAATGATATTTATTTGTGCTAACCTTCTTCAGTTCTACTGTGGAAAATCTGTGATTAATCCCAGTGTCTGAAAATAGCGTTCTGCCGTGCGATCTTAATAGTGACGATAAATAACATGTGGTTATCGTGAATCGGCGCACGCGCTTAGTCTATCAAATTGAAGAAACGTTATTACTATATACTGAACAAGTAAAAGCTAGAAAACTAAGAGAATCAGAGTGCTATTGTATTTATATCATTCTAATTTTTTGAAAATAGTGATAAGAATATCCGAAACCTAAAACCATCAGCGGAATTTCAGCGGAGTCCTACACAGGCCTGTTAAAGGCCTGTGTGGGACTCCATTTCAGAAAATTACATTTCTAGCTGCTTTTCATAGAAGTATTGTAAAGGCTGCTTGCAATTTGTGCATATTCCAGGTGTCTCAGTGCTTCTCAGTTCTCGTCTGGAGTCACCTGCTCAGCTACTTCATGTTCATTGCTTGCGAGGCACCCACGGACCATCTGAGGAAGCTACTTTTCATGCGGGAGCGAAACAGCGCTGTGAAGACGGCACCGGGGCCGGAGGAGCATGTGCAAGCAGAGCGCATTGAAGACGGGTTCAACGGCAGGTACGGAAACGTAGTCGTCAAAGCTAACACCCCACACCAGAAGCCGAACTCTTTCAACATCTTGTCCTACAGTCTGTAGCACCTGAATATTTCAACGACGCTGTGATTAGTCTGGAAGTGTTGCTCGACTGCGATAACTAGATTGTTAAACTGACATAGGCGGAAATTTAGGATAATAAACACTCTTTCAACGTTTATCAACGTAGTTCGTACGTGAGCAGGCATTATACAATTAAAATATTTTTGGTAATATATCAAAAATAAAACACCTTTGTATATGTTCCAAAATGTGTGCCTCTGCCCATTATGTTCTTTATTTATATGCATAAGTCGTGTTTTTAATAAATTTGTTCTTAAGTGGGAAATTATTATTTCCCACTATATTTCTAAAATTTTGAAATTGTATATAAACTAAAAAATACCCGAGGTCAATGGCAGCTAGCCTTTCAGGCAGGGCTAACTGGATTGATACACAAAGTATCGCATGTGGGAAATTACTACAATTGCCGAAGAATTCTAACGAACGCAACACAAGAGCACACAGCACTCGCAGCTCGATGTCAATCCCCAGCTCCCAGCTCCAAAACGACAGCAACTTATTGACATTCTTGCTACATTCCAGGCAAGTCAAATCTACTATTTCAAACTTATGCAGACACCACACACAAAAAAAAACTTTACAAATGAATGAATCTGCCTTACTACTTTATTTATTGAGAAATAGTAAACTCAGAACTCCTAAGGTGCGTAAAAACTGTGAAAAACAGAAAGTTGATTATCAGATTTCTGCGTTACTAAACACTATTAAAGATTACTATGATTTTACACAGGCATTTTATAAATACAAGAAAAAGAATAAACAAATACTTATGGACAAAGACTTGTGTTACGCGCTGTAGAAATGTCTGTTTGTATGGTAACCTTGGGCTTTTTACAGGACACATGAATGCCAAAACTGCTGAGGATTCTTTGTTTATTGTGGCGTATGAATTGTAATTTTTGTTTACTGAGTTGCATGAAACGTACTTTGGTCACACAGGCATGTATATTGAAGCAGAAACGAATCCTACAAATCTGTATACCGTGCCACCTTTTGCACTTCTGTAAACTGCGGAGGGTGAAGGCCCAGTCAGGGAGAAATGCCTTTTGCCACTACCTCCCTACCGGCCTTGGCCCGTGAAAATGCCAGTAAATTTCCATTCATTAAAACAAATCTCTTAAGTTAAAAAATGTATATATATATATATATATATATATATATATATATATATATATATATATATATATATATATATATATATATATATATATATATATATATATATACATAGTTGTGGCGGTGCTGCCAATGGGAAGACGACGAAAGGGAGGACAGGAAGAAAGCGCGAGAAAAGGGACGAATGGCGATGAACGTTGTCCGCCAAACGCTAAGTATTTGAACGGTTTTGATTTTCTTAACAATTGGTATCAGCAGTGGGGTAATGGAACATCCCAACACCCCTCAGCTTGACCTGGTCATAAAAGCGATCGGCTCGCTACAAGCTCCGTTGACCACCTTGCGAGAGGAGCAGAGCCGTCACACAGACGAAGACCGACGAGCTTTAGCAGAGCTCCATCGAGAGGTTTCCGCGCAACGCCAGCGTCAAACTGGGACTGAGTCATCCCGCCAGTCCACGGGGCCTCGTGGAGCGCTGCACCCACTATCGCGGTCCGGCGAGACTACTGAATGAACGAGCGAAAGCGGCACTGCTAGTGAGGCAGATCTCTCCTTGCAAGCCTAAGACGAAACCGAAAATGATAACAGACAGCAGATACTACCTTTGGGGGATGCCAACGAACAGCAGGCTTTCGCTTCGCAGAAAATGACTGTCAAGCTCGACACCTGTGATGGACACAGCCCCTGGAATGCCTTTCAAGTGCATTTTGATCTAGTCGCGGACTTAAACGGTTGGACTACCGCATCGCGAGGAGTGTTTTTGGCATCTAAACTCTGAGGACCGGCTTTGGACCTGCTTCACAACCTTCCTCCTGGCAACCAGTGCGACTACAAGGCGCTCGAGGAAGCACTCGAAGGGCGCTTTAGTGAGAAGCGCCTGGGGCGACTCTACCACGCCACTCTCCGGACTCGGATACAAGGACGAAATGAATCATTGTCTGAACTGGCCATTGACATCGAGAGGCTAACTGCGACTCTCGTATCAAGGCTGCAGAACTGCGACACTGGACTCTGTGGCTGTGGGACATTTTTTAGACGCAATCGGAGACACAGAAGTAGAACAGTTTGTCCGCCTGTTGTCAACTGCCTGCATGCGTGACGCTGTTGCACGAGCTATGGCGGTAGGGGCAACGACGAGGGAAATAAGAGCCACCCGGCGGGTCACAGTGCCAGGTGGTTATCAGCCCGGCACATCGTCTGCTTTACATCCAGTGTCGCTTCTCAACACCGAACGGCAAACTTCTCACGAGGCAATAGGGATGCCACCTCATCAGAGGCCATCTCCAACATGCTGGCGCTGCGGTTAAAAAGGTCAGATCCGGAGATATTGCAGGTGGCGTAGTAAAGAACAAAAAGGCAATTCCACTCCGGGAAACTAATTCCGGCTGAGCTTACCGGCCAAATCTCGGCTGAGAAAGAAAATAAAGAGCCGGTCTCAACGCTCAGGGCTCAAAAGTTAGGATCTGACAAAGATGGGCTTTTTGTGAATGGGAAAATACAAGGTGTACCATGTAAGATGCTTGTTGACACCGGAGCCAACACCACATTCGTAAGAGCAGATGTATATGAACGAATAAAGACACCCATAACATCATACTAACGGCTTTCTTGGTGCTTACAGCGCACTGTCACCGGAGAAACAGCACCAATCACGGCGCAATGCGAACTTGCATTTCTTTTTAGAACGCAGAAGTTTGTGCAAGTTGCGTTTGTAGCTGGAATACTTGAGGAATGCATCCTTGGACCTGATTTTCTAAAGGCGAATGGTTTTGCGAGATCTCAAGAGTCACACATTGGAAGCAGTTACGAACACGTTATCTTGTACAGCCAACGTGCAATTTTAGAAAACGGCGAGGGATTTCTTCTAAGCTCCAAGTCCATTTTGATTTCTCCACAAAGCGAAAACGTTATCTGGGTGACGGACGGCAATAACTGCTCGAATGGTATGGTGGGCGCCTAAAAGAGACGCCACGTGCGATACTGTTCCATGAATCATTATAGCAAGAACGCTAATAGATTTCGGCAACGAAAAGGATCCTATCCGCATTGGCAACCTACCGGAGAAACCTATCCACCTAAACAAGGGATGTCAGATTGCGAAGTGGCCCCGTGCTGTGAGCTTTACTCCTAGACGAAAGGAAATTGTTCATATGACACAAGAGGAATTGCCGGCTTCCTTGCTGGATTTAGCAGACCGCTCCAAATGCCACCTTGATAAAGCACAACAAGCACCTCTCCTGAGTTTACTCAACGAATACACAGATGTGTTTCCTTCTTCCTTGGAGACCGGACGGACAGGTGCTGTTCAACACCGCATCGATACAGAAAATGCAACTCCGATTAAGCAACAGCACCGGCCAATTTCGTTGGCGAAACGCAACGAAGCCGACCAAATGATCCAAGCTATGCAACAACAACATGTCATTGAGCCTACATCGAACCCGTGGGTGTCACCGGTCGTCTTGGTAAAACTGCGCTCTAATTCGGCGTTACAGGGTATTGTAATCGTCTTTCATTTTTAGGGCGCAGCTCTTAGGGGCCCGTTTCCAGCCTGAGCGGCGTCGGCGTCGGCGTCGGCGTCGGCGACGGCGTAACCGGGGGGGGGGGGGGGGTCACGTGACCCCCCCCCCCGAGGTCACGTGACCCCCCTCCCCCGAGACTACCCGCAGGTGACGTGACCCCCCTCAGTACCCTTCTCTACTCCTCCTCAAGAGCTGCGCTCCAATTCGGCGTTACAGGGATTCGTAAACGGCTTTCAATTTTTTTTAATGAGAAATCTTGGTATCTTGGTATCTTGCAAATACTTTTGATCGAGAGTATTTAATACTCCAATTTAAATACATTTCTGAATATCTTGTACTCATTATCTCGAATACATTGTTGACATTCCGTCATTTTCCGAGTTTTTCGGTGTGAAGTGGCGTGGGCGTGGCACCAGCAAACGTTAACATTCTTTCGAGCAGTTGAATCCTGTTGCTAGCTCCGATTAGCTAAGGTGACTTTGGTTGTTGAACCCCTTTGGTTGAGCTTGTAAGAAAAACATGCTTTTTTGACGATTGTGACTCATATTTTGGCCCAAAGTTCGTACAATTACAGTTTTCCCCCCTCGCCTTCCGAAAGGCGCTTTTTGTTTCCCAGGGCTTCCCCCCAAAAATACTCAAACAAAAGGGGTGGTTTTACAGAAGTTTGGATTGAATGCCATACTGAGGCGCGACGCAGGCCGGGAAACCACCTACAACAACAATGCAGACTTGGGCGTCAAGAAAATAACAAATAAAAAAAAAAGAGAAGTGGACAGAAAAAAAAGAAGACATTTTTGTTTTGCTTGTTGTATGTTTGACCCCCTACGGCAATATGTCTAGTCTTCCTTTTGTTTATTTTCTTTTTGCCGTCAGTTCGTCACTTATTGTTCTCGCGAACAATGTCGGTAAGCGAACATTGATAAGGGGAAAACAAGACAGGAAACCAACTAAAAGCTGGATGACTTCTCAAAATCTCAACAACAAAATCTCAAGATACTTTACTGTGAAAGTAATTTGAGTAGTATTTTAAATACTCTATGAATCACGCATTTGGTAACATAACTTAAATACGTTTATCGAGTATTTTGTCCAACACTTGAAATCCGACTTTTTATTATCTATAAAAGCCACAATCGACGGACTAGTTACCCTCCCAGATAAGGTAGATGAGCTGTGTACCTTGAAACCGGCCGTGCCCATTCTCCAAGAAACATGTTAAAAAGTCAAGTAACTGCAGATGACTTGTCTACAAAGTCCCAATCAGTACGCGCAAGCAACCGAAAACGAAAAAAAAAAAATGTCGGCGAAATTCGAGCTCATTTAATGGCGCATTCACACTGG